CCAGTTAAATGGTCTCGGGTACCCGAGACAACCCTCCCTTTGGGGCAACGTCGAGCGTTTATATGTATGTGGAAACGTTGTCCCTGTAAAGGCCCAGTCAAAGTTGACCCTGCTTGATTATCGATAACCCTTATTGAATAATCAACTGTGCAAAGATGTCACTTTCTTTGAGTTTCCATCGGTCATTCCATCACAGTGGGTTTTGCCGAGGTTAATTTTCACTTCTTTGATACGAACTTCTGCTTTAAATCCTAAATCTACGCATTACGTGACACTCGCAACGCCGAGAGGAGTCCCGGTTGAGCGAGCCGAAATGTTTATATGAAGAAAAGTTGTCCCGCTTACCAGGGTTACCCTACCTGCCAAGGCAAGACAACTCGCCCACCCGAGTTGTCTCGCGTTCGCGATCCTCATGTTAACGGTTGGTTGAATTTTGCAAAGAAGTAAGCTAAAAGTTACTTCGGCCAGGGTAACTCGGGGGGAGGGTTGTCTCGGGTACCCGCGACCATATAAATGGGGCCTTAGTTTGTAGTATAGAGCATTGATATTCAAATGAAGAGAACACCATAAAAGCCAATGGACCTTTACGTCTGAAATAGATTAAACGATAATTATTATACTGTAGTAAAACCAACTGCTGTTTATTACTGCTATTTTAGCCTCCAGTTCCCACTGTCGATGTAGCCTTATACAACATCACCGCTGACCCTTACGAGAAGAATGACCTCAGCCAAAGGTTCCCCGATATTGTGAAGAAGCTTCAAGATCGAGTGCAGTTTTACATGAAGGGGGCAGTGCCACCTGCTAACAGACCATCAGACCCTGAGGCGAGGAAGGTGGCCAAGAAGAACGGGGCCTGGACTCCATGGATGTGAAATACCTTTCCGGGCACGAGCAGAGTCAAGGAAACATTTTAGAATATTCTATATTGTTTGGACACCTCTGTCGTTTTCAAAGGTGTTTGTTTCGTATCTTTTAAATAATGTTTTGACTGCGTGGAATTGGTGAGCGGGAGACGGGCGTAGAGGACGACAGGATGAAGACTTTTCCCAACCTTGTGCCCAGGGCTTTTCCGTTAGGAGTTGGGAGAGGTCAATAAAGCCCTGGGTACGAGGGTGGTCTTTTTCTCCTTCTCGTTTTCACCAGGGATCTGAATTTCCTTTGGCACTTAGGATTATTTGCTATAAAATCCCGGTGTCCCCCGATGAAAGGCGTTATATCGGACAGAGATTTTTTTTGACACCTTAGAATTTTCCACTGCGCGAACTTTTTATTTCTAAAGTCGATACTATACTTTTTGCGATATATATTAAATTACCTTGAAACGAAGAAAACGGCAAAATAAAAGCTGACAGTGCCTCCCTCCACCCAGGAATATTTATGTATACCGAAGAAATTTGTGCAGCAGGTAATTGTGTGAATGCGAGTACGATTAAGAATTGAATAGAGCTTTCATTTATTATGACTGAGAAAGCTGCGAACGCGCGCGCTTAAATATGCACTGCTCTTCAAATAAACGACTTAACGAACCCTCAGCCGATCACAATGAAGTAATTTTCTCAGTCATGCAACAAATACCACAATAAATGTATGGAGGTCTTTAAAGACAATATATTTTTCAACTGAGTGATAACAGGGTAAGATTGTTAAGAAGGTAGATAGTAACACTGATGATCTTTAATAATCAGTAATAATCAATTGTATCTAGTAATAAACTGTTTATTAATCAACAACATGTTTTACAGATCATTCCTTAAGTATTACATGAATGATAGGTCGTCAAGTAACCATGTTTACACGTTAATTATGATCATTAATATATCTAATCTCCCCATCAACTGATTTTAAGTTCTAACTTGTATCGTGTTACAATTTTCTTTTAAATAACAAAAGGTTAGCGGAAGGGACGAGGGCCCTTCTAACGCGATTGAAATCTCCGTGTCTTGCCCGTGAAATCACAAAAATAGGTTTTTACAATGTGTCTGAAATTTTTTTGTTATTTCGTGTGGGTTTGAGTCATTTATTTACATATACAGTATGGGATTATGCCGCCCTAAAAGGGGAGATGTTGGAGTTGATTAACAGTCTGAAATGGATTTGGAAATGATTTTCAAGTACAGTGGAACCCCGTCAATCCGGTCTAGCCGTCTGAACGAGTGGCCTTAATTAAGGGGGTTCTTTATATAAGAAAAGGCCTGACTGAGCTTTTGTTCAGACCACAATAAAGTGGCCGTGATGACGAGGTGGCCGTGATAACGAGGTGGCCGTGATAACGAGGTGGCCGTGATAACGAGGTGGCCGTGCTAACGGGGTGGCCGTAAGGCGGGGTTCCAGTGCACGCAAGAGAACTAGTTGTGAAGTTTGAGCTCGGCGAGAAACAATGTCCGTCATATTCTGGTCAGTAAGTAGAATATATCAGGCTTGATCCTGAATTGAGTGGATTTAAAATATGATGGTCAGTCCAATATGGCTGCCATGTTGGATTTCAAAGCCGAGAGAGCGCTGGGAATGCAGTAAGGCCTTTGAGACCAAAGCGGCATAACTCCACAAAGAAATTACACCCCCTCCCTTACGTGGAGCTTATGTACATCATGCAACGAACACTATATTACAATTATTTATAAAAGCTACAAGATTGCGTCCAGTCAAACGGATTTGTTCTTTGTTCTTTGTGACGAACTTTCTCTCACTCGCGCCAATTTTTCATCCAGTCAGAAGTCAAACTAAAACCAATCGTGACTCATTCGCACACGTTTTCCGCGCTTTGCGTCAGCTACATGTTATCTCTTCGAGTTTTGATTGGTTCACTGTATTGTCTAGGTCTTTTGTGATTGGCTAGAGTGATTACTTTGGTTTTGGTCCTACCACACTCAATTAAAACCACTCTAATCAGCTTTTAATTTTTGTTGTTCGTTGTTTGCTTTTTATCAAGTGTGACGGTAAATGTGAATAGCCGTTAAGTCAACTTTGTCAATTGAGACCATTTTACATACAAGACGAGCAAATGCATTAAACTTACAAAACACACTGTAAATCTGAGATAAGATAACATCTGTTTCGGCCTCAAAACGCCCCCTTAACCCGGAGAACCTTGATCTGATTCCCACTTGTGGAACCATTTAAGTACAATTTAGACCAGAAAAGCCCTGTCAAAGAACTACCGTAAGCTGCCGCTTTTAAGCCCTGGGCTCATACAACTTCGTAAGGGCTTTTGGATGGGTTTATAAACAGAGGGGCTTACAACACGAATAAAAAACCGTACGTTTCCAAACGAGCCATAGCTACACATGTTGATCAAAATAGGTTTTTCATTTACTAGTAATTAAGCTTTAAAACATCATAATAAAACGAATTCAAGTCAAGGAAAGCTAGGGGCGGGGGGACTTATATCCGAACGGGCTTAGAACCGGATGCATTTTTTGGTTTACATTTCGATGGGCCAAAAACCGGGAGGACTTATACGCAGGGGGCTTATAAGTAGCAGTTTATGGTATCTCAGCCCACTTTGAGACTCATACCAGCCCGTGAAAATTACCTTATGATTCTGGCCCTAATCTAGAAAACCAAATTAGATTCCATATAAATACGAAATTTAACTCACCAAAACTGTCCAAAATGTTTGAAATACGGTGCAAAAACCACAAAGGATGTATTAAACAAACCACATTGACTTATTAAGTTATTAACATTACTTTATGCAGTCATTATTTTGTCATACTTTGCAACTGAAAACACAATTCAGATTCTGAAACCACGCCAAACATAATAATACCGCAAACCCGTGTGGCCTGCGCGTGCGTTATATCTGGATGTCTTCTGCACACATCAGCTTCAAACAGACCATATTTCTGTGTATTTTGGATGGAAATTATTAAACACTGCCTTAGTATTTTCATCTAAAGGATGCCTCTGAAATATTTGCGAGGTTTGTTTTAAAAAAGTTGTCGTTGGTGTTTCGGTCGTGGTTACTATGGTCTCAAACAGTCCACAACTTGCCAAGGAAACCTCTGACTGTTACCAAGACTATCATGGTCTCTTACGTTTACCCAAGGGAGTTACACAGGTTTGAGGTGCGTCAGGTGATGAGTTCTCGTCCAGCTCTTCAGTTGCAAAGTATGATTGAATTAAAAGCCTTGGAAGTTTTGGACAGCGTGGCGGCAGGCGTGGGAAAGCAATTTACTGCTAACAAGCTAATACTAACAAGCGCGCGAAAATGTGCAACTGGTGAAAAGCGCGGGAAAACAATTTACTGCTAACAAACTAATACTAACAAGCGCGGGAAAATGAGCAACTGGTGAAAAGCGCGGGAGACTGAGTCGCGTGAGTCAAGCCACGATCGGCTTTGGTCTTGTATTTGATTCGACGGAAAAAAAGTGAACAATTAGTTTTCCTCTGATTTTTTGACTATGTTGTGGGAGCTTGCTTGTTCCGACAACGATTACAAATTCAAAGCAAAAGATAACTGTAAGCTTTTGTTTCAGCTGACCAAAAACATTCCAAAGCTGTTTGGACTCTTCTCCTTTTCAAAATAGTCCGGGAATAGTTTATCCATACTTTGGAGAGTGTCTTTGTCTTTAAGGACTGACTTGTCGAATTCTATTTCCACATATAATAACGCATAGCTGGGTATCTTGGCAAGTCCAGACATTCGCATAACGTCAGTCCCGTTACTGGTAAATGCTGGCAATGTAGAGAACAATTCAGAAGAACTTGTTCTTATAACAACTCTATTGACGGGCTTACCTACCCTTAAATGGCAATAAACGTAGTATATACCGCCTGTAGAAATATTAAACTTTGCCTTGGATACTACATTGTTATCACTGGAAAGGTAACTCTGCCAAGACAACTGGGCCGTCAAATCATCTGGAATGAAAAGATTGTCACATGTTCTATTAGAACTAGATACTAAGAACAAGATTTTCCTGTCTAGCTGATGCTTGATTGTAAATTGTTACATTACGCCCACAATCGTAAAAAGTCTCTTCCAGTTTTCTCCAAAGAGGAATTTCTAATATGGGGAACGAAAGCGGAGGAGGTTAAAACTAAACATGGCGTAAATCACTTAGTTGCAAGACTTACGATTTGCTAGCCTGAAGTTAAGCCGCCTTCCGGAGTCAGGACTATAAGCGACCAGAAGAGACCCCAGAGTTTCAGACTATTTTTTTTTTTTGTAATCTTCAGAATAATTATTTGATTGTATTTCGTACTTAATTTCGCATTTTCCATTTTTTGTAGGTCGATTATATCTAGTCACAGCTACGTCGAATACCTACACATAACTCAAACTTCATCTTTATCTGCTGATGAAAAATTGCTCTGCCTGGAGAACAAGGAAGCTTCCGAAAACGTCTATAAAACTGTCAACCCACTTTATCTCATGGCATTGCTTTCGGACGCAGAAAGAAACACAAATCACTTGCCTGGTGGGGCTGATGGAGTAAACTACTCAGTTTATTCTTGATACGAATTCAAAACATGGTAGCCACAAAGAATCGTGTTAGTAACTCACTCTACTTTTACCAGAAATCAATTCTCCACGTACAATTTAATGAGTACCTTTATAATTCGTGCTGTTTTTTGTTGCTTGAAGAGTGTGGGCTGTCAGTATATAGGCGTGGATAAAATCTGACGTAAGAAATAACAAGAATAAAAGTAACATCAGATTTCGTGTCAAGTTATTGCAGCTTCTCAGTAGACTTCCTTATCAGGGTTTTGCGGGAGTTACGAGCCTGGAGTTAGCTGAAGTTGTTTCGCGGTAGATCCTAGTTCAACTCCTCGGTCATGCTTGTAAATAGCCAACTGGTCTGCCTCCCGCCGGTTGGGAGTTTTAAGCCTATTATGTTTAGTTGATATATTTGTTTCTTTCATTTAAAGTGGCATGCCTGTGAACTAGCTAGGTGTAGCAAAGCGTATTGACCACTATAAACAACAACATTTGAACATTTTTTTTTGAGCCACGCCCCTTAAATCTTTCTTAGCCACAGTTGAACATCGGAAAATGACTTAAAAAATCAGCCACTTTATCTTATTTGAAAATGCACAGATAATGATCAAGAGTGGTTAGAACAAACGCGCAGCCCTCAAGAGGGGATACAAAAGTTCTTGCCATAGTTTCGCGCCTTTTGTGAGTGTATAGCTGGACAGACCTGGGCTAAAAAGAATCTAATACGTTTCCCAAGCGCGAATTTATCACTGAACAGTCTTCTTACCAAGTGGCTCCGAATTCCTCACTTGGTCTATGTACACTTTTAGTATTCCAAGAGAATATGAAGGGTAAGAGAATCCAAGTAGCTTTACACGCATTTCCATTCTCCACGGAAATAACCACGCAACGCGCTTGGTAATATTATCTACGGAGGATTTGAGTATCATGTCTAATTAACAAATTGACGTCAGCTTTTTTATGCGTCTGTCCTCTTATTGATGATGAATTGCGTCATAACATTGTCAAAGTGGCTGTGGAACCACGAGCCGCAGGCGAGTGGTTCTGCAGTAAACTTTCCGCAGTAAATTTCGGGTATTTGGAATATATTTGCTGTAATTGTTTTTTATATCTCTTTTCTCTAAGTGTATATATATATGAAATACCTTTTCCACGGCTTGGCATACAGTTCTTTATCATGGTGCAATTGACATCTAAATTGATACAAAATACATACTAGTTATGCAACACTTTCGAGTTATACCTAACAATTAGATTATGAGCTCGAGATTTCTATCACGCGATAGAAATAGAGTGCGAATAATCTAATTGCTTAAGTATAAATCTACTAGTCGTTCAAAACTTTATCAAAATCCTCTTCACCGACACCTCGAAAACGCAAGAAGCGGCCGTCACTTCGGTAACAAACGTACACTGCTACGCTACTCACTGACTAAGCAATTAGATTATTTGCTCTCGATTTCTATCGCGTGATAGTTGACGAGGGTGCAGTCCGAGTCAACTATCACGCATAGAAATCAAGAGCGAATAATTTAATTGTTTTAGTATAAATCTACTAGTCGTTGAAAACTTTATCTAAACCTTCTTCACAGACACTTCGAAAACGCCAAGAAGCGGCCGTCATTTTGTTAACAAGGGCACGCTGCTACGCTATTAACTATCTATCACAGAATAGATAGTGAGTAGCGTAGCCAATCAGAGAACGGCATGTTTGATAGACCGCTAGTAGATTAATACTAATCTGTTGTAGATAGTGAGTAGCTTAGCCAATCAGAAAACGGCTTTCGTGATGGAACGCTAGTAGATTTATACTAGCATGGAATATCCTACGAGTAAAGGCTCGTGCCTATACCAGTCCACTGGCTCAGCCATGATGGTTTATTTAAACAATAGCCTTCATTTTGCGCGAAAATATGCAGGGATATTTGTCGGCGGACATTATCTTTTCCGAGAGGCGAATAGTTTTCCGAGAGCGTAGCTCGAGGAAAACTGTGAGCTTTGAGGAACAGATAATGTCCAAGGACAAATATCCGAGCATATTTTCGCGCCATCTGGAGGCTACTGTGTTTATTATCCTTCAAATATTTTTCGCAACGCAGGCAGTTTTGAAATTTGGGAAACATTGTCGGATATTCCCCAGTTTAAGCTGGGAAATATTCGGTCACGTGACGCGTTTAGACCCACCGCGGGCGGGCGAAAATATTTGATGGATTATAAGGGATCTTATAGAGCTCTTATAATCCATCGAATAATCAGAGGATGAATTGCTTATTCTGACGAGGCATATATTGTAGATAAGCATTCCTTTATAAGCTGGCACTGGCGAATTCAATTAGTATGAATGAATGAATGAAAACTTCATTAACCCTCTACTAATAGGGGACACTTAAAATAAATAAAATAAGTTATTAAAATTTAAACACCTAAAATTTGACTATTTACAATAAATGAAATTTAACTACTTCATTTACATTAAAAGACTGAAATTTAACTACCTTATTTAACAATCATTATTATTTAATTAAATAAACAAATAAGTTATTCGCAAAGAGCGTTCCCGAAACAAGCTTGGTGGTCATGTACTACATAAGACAGAGTTCTCGCATTCGTGTTCTATCTTGTAACCTGGTAAATTGTTTTAGGAGGGGAGGGAACCGGTGCTGATCTCTACTGAGCTCGGACGGTACAGTTGCAAGCACAGCTAGACCCGAACGCCAACTTTAAGCTTGCCTAGGTCACTCAATAAATAGGAACTGTTGTAACGTTTCCACCCAGTTGACCCTCACCTTTCTTAAGCTCCTCTGCACAATGCTTTAATCTCTTACACTTCTTACTGCTATCATCTGCAAAAGATAGTCAACCCTACTCAATATTTACAACTCACTAGTTCAACCTCACTTTGATTACTGCAGCCTTGTCTGGGGTAATTGTGGCAAAACATTGTCGAAAAAGCTACAAAAACTACAGAACCGTGCTGCACGTGTTATAACTTCATCAAACTATGACGTAGATGTCCGATTCCTTATTCCACAAACTCAGCTGGAAAGACTTGAAATCTCAACGTCAAATTCAGAACGCCTTAATGGTTTTCAAGTCTTCAAACGGTCTTGTTCCGGAATATCTCACGTCTAAATTTATAAAGCGAAATGAATCAAGCTATTCTCTGAGGGA